ACGTGATGTGCAGTAAACGTTTCACTCGACTGCAGGCCACAAAATGCGGTATGTGGAATTCTCTTCCATCCCATATAGTGTATGCTCCTTCAGTTGAACTATTGAAATCGCAACTTGATAATGTGTTGGAACACTTCATATTTCAAAATCCGTGAGTGATCGTGCTTACTATTTTTATTTTCTCTTTGTAAGGTTATCCAAAGGATTCTGTAAAATTCCTATGGGGCATGATAAGCTTTGTTAAATAGCCCCATAATAAAACTTTGACTTCTAAGACGCACCCTTCAGGAAAAAGGTGGCGCCAGAGTTAAGAGCGGTAAATTGTGTTAGAGTCCACCTTTAGATCAAGGAAGATAGAAATCGTAGTTCTATGGAAAGAATACCCGCATTCCAGAATTTGGCGAAAAGTGAATATATGGTTGATGCAACTTCCACCAGGTCTAAAATCTGTCTGGTTCACATGCGGCAGACAACCGATGGAGCATTATACCATTGAGAAGCTGGGAGAGGATGTCTATCAAACTAATCCCCAACGATTTTCATTAGAGGATCTATCGGCTTTTAATGATGACCCTATCACACCATTCAACTGGAACTTATTCATTTTCCCAGATAAAACCTAGGAGTTCCGTCAACCCCAAAACCAGGACTAAAACTTTTTCCTAAAAATCCAGCGAGGACAACCTATCTGGCTTTTTACTTTTTACAACAACTTTTCCTCAGTAATCTCCATTTCAGAAGGACTGCTAGTTTCAATCCTCAGTATTTATCGATTTGACGCAGGAGTTTGTAAATCTAATGTAGATGAAAAGCAATTGGACAGTGCAATAAAATGTTTTGCCCATTGTTCGAAAAGTGCTTTGCAAAATGTGAATTATTGTACCATCGGACTCCTGAATTACCACTTTCGCACTTACTTTACGGGGGGGCTTGTACTACTAATTTAACAGGAAAGATTGCGACTGTTACCAATAGTCGCCTTATCCATGTTCCCAAATTTAGCTACCTACCAATTTTGACAGTCTATCCTCAAAGTTTTGATGTCTATAGACGGTATGCATAAATTCATACTTAAGATCTAGGAGCAAAATTCTGCAAGGTCCAACAAAGCAGCAAAATTCAAGGGAATTCCTCGTTTTTGATAAGGGTGTTCGTCAGAGTCTAGCATTGTTTAAATCGGCAGTTGAATAGCTTCCTTGATTAGATTACAATGTTCATTAAGTCCTTTGGAGGGTGGTCGTTCTGAGAAGCTATTAGAGAGGTATGCTTTGAAGGCGGTTNAAATTACATTGAAAGAATCCGTTTCCAGTGGCTTTGTTGCGGTTGTTTATCATGCGTAGACAGGACCTGCACCATAACGAAGTCTAGTCCGTATCCGCGCGTATTGACCGGTAATAGTGACAGTATTCAATGGGTCCCCGCTAGGGGCAGTTGGTGGCGGTCTACCACTGAGAAGATTTAGGGCTTTCAGTATAAGGCGATGTCGTTTATCGTAAGATAATTTGATGCTTATTAGAAAAATCCGTGGTCTATGCAAACTTGAAGTAAACCATCTCCTTTCTCTATACAGCTTATTATAATTGCATACGGGTCTCCTAGGAGCCTTTGTCGTTCGTCCAAGGTTGCCCAGTTCAAGTCGCCAAGTCCACCGAACAAAAACGTCGAGGCGGTTAAGAAAGGTCAAGCCGGTGGTATATATATATATATATATATATATATATATC